GAAGTAAGGTAGGTGAAGTACACGGAGTGTGATTGAGCTCATTGGAGATTAGTGAGCATTGGCCTTTGCTCACCTTGAAAGAGCAGATGGTATAGAAGAGGGGATGATAATCATTCGTTTCTCCCGTCAGCAAGGATGAGAAGTAGAGTTCTGCATCGACTTTGGCTACTATCTGTGTTCTTAATCTTGATGTAACTTGTGAGGCAGTACATCGTTGCTTGGAACAGACTAGATGGTTTATGGACCTGACAGATGGAGGATCTTGCTGATAGTGGGTAGTTGGATGCAGAGTGTTGAGGTTTACCCGGTATAGTTTTCTGCTGCCCATTGTTGGGGAAGAGGTCTGTGATGCAGTATCTGTTTGTATTTGATCTTTATGTATGTGGGACGGTAGACCCGTTTTCCAGCACGTGCTGGTCCGCACGAATAGATGGAGTCATGAATTGATCGTTAAAAAAAAAATAAAAAAAAATGAAAAGATCTCTTTAGGGGAAAAAAAGAGAAAAATGACAAAATAGGAAAGCAAATGGATACTTGAAATTGCCATCAGACTTCAAGATGGATACTCAGGGCATACGCAGACTACCGTCGTCACCCGAATAGAACGCCCAGTCATTACAGCTGTATTTGTGGCAACTTTCAGTCCACATGCAACGATAATGACCGGGCGTTTTATTAGAGGGTGGAGACAGTAGGACTCTCATGGATGTGTATGACCATTTTTCCGACCCTGTATGTGATGGCAATTACTTCCACACGTCCACAGAGAAGTGGAAAAGGTCCTATAGTATGCCCTCAGTGTGGCGTCAAGCACAGTGCTTTCATGCGGCGCTGCATGTGTTTGATCTCTTCATTTTGAAAGTAGTACCATTTCTTTCTTTCTTTTGTAGGGGGGCCAAATTAAGTTCATTTCACTTTTGAGTATCGAATGAGCAAAGAAAACATGTGTCGGCAAAGGAAACGGGCGTGGAGTTTGAAGAAGCAATGAAAGTACCAACAGCTGTGGCGTCAGGCCGGGTGTCATAACTACAGGGGTCGGCTGTGGTGTCAGACGGGGAAAAGGAAGGAGGGGGGGGGGGGGGGGGAACGTGACCCCAACGGATTCTTTTTCTGCCCAAACTGCCATGTCAAACTCACGCCAAGATATCTTTCGGGGCGCATGTTTTTTTTCCCCTATGCAAAATCAAAACCTGCTGTGTCCGCCCTTTTTTTTTGTTTTTTGTTTTTTGTTTTTCCTTAAAAGAAGGTTACTTGTGCTGTTGAAGCTTTCGCCATTTCCAAGTGCGTTGACCCCACTGTGCTCATGGACGCGGTCTTGACTTGCTGGACACTTATGTTGGTGGTGGCGAGAGCAAGCTCTCGTTGACAGTGGTTTTCAGTGTTACAATTCTTCATTGGTGTTATATTGGTGCAGTTCGGCTTTCTGGACACTGTGATACTATCTGGCCTCCAATATGATTGTGCATTCTGGATATTGTCATCTTGCTTCTGCTCATTTTCCTTGCGCATATCTTAACTGGGGTGGGCCATGATAATCTTCTTTCTCTGCATCGTTCCAATTTTAATGGATGTGCCGAAGGACTTCTCTTCCTTTCTACCTACGGTTCACCGGGCAGTTCTCTGCGACTTCACCGGGCGCTTCCGCGAAGCTTGGCGCAGAGGGGGAGTGCGCCTTTACGCAAAAAAGGATCGGAGGTAGTGGTGGTTTAAACAGGGGTGGATACTTAGAAAAAAGAAAAGGTTTAAAGAACAGTGATTTCGGAAGTGCCAGGGCATATGGCAAAGTTGCCAATGACCGGGACAGGGGCAGATGCAGAAGTTTGGTGCAGTTCGGCATACCCCTGTGCTGTAGGGGTATCTAGCGAAATACCCCAACTTTTAGGGGTATTAGAGTTTTATTCATTGCATGTGTTTTTCATTCTTCGTTTTCTCCTTAAACCACCACTACCGTCTTAACCTGAATAAGAACATAGGGTCATTTTTGCTGTATCTGGACTGAAACTTACCCCTGATACAGCCATAATGACCGTGCGTTCTGTGCAGGGGAAGACATTACCACTGAGCCGCTTTTCCCTTTTCCCCGCGGCGGATTTGTGCTGCGCTAAGTTCAAAAGGAACTGTGGTGGCATAATTTTTTGTCCGTTTTGGCTGGTGCGCTAAGGTCAAAGAGGTTTGGTAGGCCGAGCTTTGGAAATTGCGGTCATAAACCATCAAATGCGTCCTCCTCCGGTGCCCATGAAAGGCGCAGGTGGTTGAAAGGTTTTGCAAGGAAAATGGGCGAGTGCAAAAGACAGAAAACCAAATTGCAACATCCCGTTGAAGACCAGATAGTGGTGCACCGAGCAGAAAGTAGTATGCACCGAGTTACAAGCCAAGTACGGGCAATGCAGTGAACTCATATATGTCAATGTCAGCCCCAACTCGCCACAATGAACAGTGCATCCAATGTTGCTCTTCTCATATGGCGCTCAGTGCCCAACCTGCTATCTCAAAGCACCTAAACTCGCCTGCACTATGAAGACGCAACCCGGAAGTGCTTCAGCAGAAGACCAATGTACATGAAGAAATCACCCATGCAGACCGCTGCACACACATGAAGTACGTGTCTCTCCTTACTCTCTCTCTCACTCTCATATCCTGACCCCCACAGTCAATCTCTCCCTTGCCCAATCACCACCATCACCATCACCAGCACCAGCGAGTCAGCCTGGCTATGGCTGCTTGCGCACTGCTTACAGGCGGCGTCCTCCACCTAGTGCCCGTGAGCGCTATTCGCCAGCCAGCCAGTGCCCAGCAGCAAGCACCCGTCGAAGCAGTGCTGCCGGATTGCCTCCGGCCAGCCAAGTCGTTGGACTGGAGGCGAGCCCTTTCCTTAATGGAAAGAGGCCGTGGCAGGAGGGGCCCAGTAGCTTCACGTCGGGCCCCAGATACTCCCACCTGGCCCTGGTCCCGACAGTTGGCAAATCCCAACTGTGCGACGTGGCTGCTTTGCATGACATGTCGGCCTCCGGGCTCTCGCTGGAAGATGCAGGGCCCGGTCACACAGCCACGGCCTGTTTCAGCACGTGGGCAAGGCCTCCAGGCTCAAGGAAAACCTGCCCCGGAGGCCCTCTAGCCCACTGAAGATCTTGGGGGCACGGGTGTGGGCCAGTGGGGTCTCTGCGAGGGCCTGATTCCTCACCGTTCCTTTTTTTTCTTAATTTAATTTGGACCATTTCTCGATATATACGTGTCATCCTTGCGCAGGAGCGACGTGGCTTAAAGTTTTCTTCTTTCTTCTCTTCTTACAGTTTTTCTTCCTCCTCGCGTTTTCTTAAACTGCCACTACCTTTCCCAGGCAAAGTTGAGAATAAAAAATGCAACCTTTGGCGGTGCACAGGGGGAATCCGCCTCGGCAAGAAGAGGCTAGGAGGAACTGGTGGTTTGACTCTACGCAGGGGTTTTGTCAGCTGACCTTCATCTCTCTTCTTCCTCTCTCTCTCTCTCTCTCTCTCTCTCTCTCTCTCTCTCTCTCTCTCTCTCTCTCTCTCTCTCCCCCTCTTTTGTTCCTCTCTTTCTCTTCTTTGTCGCTCCTATCCGTCTTTCTCTGCACCAAGTTTTCCCTTCCCTGCTATAGAGGCAGTACCTAATAATGTCTGTTTCCTTTTTCCCTTCTTTTTTTCTGTCAAATGCGACCAGTGTGTCCTTTTGGACCGGCCACGCTCTAATCGGTAGTGAACCCCCCGAAAATGGAAAAGAAAAAACTGGGAAACGATGTACTACCGGCGATAACTAGGCACCTACTGTTTCCTTTCTTTGTTTTATTTTTTGTTTTATTTTTTGTTTTTGTTTTTCCTTTTTCCTTTTTCCCTTTCTATTAACAAGTGGACGCACCGCAGCCACGCTGCGGCAAAGGACGATGAAAAAAACATTTTGTGAAACACTTTTTTTTTGTTGCGGTGCTGTTTGGTACTCTCTCTCTCTCTTTCTCTCTCTCTCTCTCTCTCTCTCTCTCTCTCTCTGTGTCTCCATGTTGTAGTGGTAGATTGGTTCGATTTTGGTCATCCCATCGATGGAAGTACCCCACCCTGTCTCTCTCTCTCTCTCTCTCTCGCTCTCTCTCTCACACACACACACACACATAGACACACGCACACACATGCACACGCACACGCACACACACACACACGCACATGCACGCTCCCCCCCCTACACACACGTGTAGCAGTGTATATTTCGAAGCGGAAGATTCGATCAATTTTGCTGATCTGATCGATGGAAGTAGCGCGTCTCTCTTTCTCTCTCTCTCTCTCTCTCTCCATCCACATGTTCTAGTG